ACCTACCCCTCTCCCTTAATGAAACATAGCACAATATTTTTTTTATTTCGCTTAATCAATCAAGAAACGATCCCTTCGGTAAGGTTAGGTCCTTGATAGTTAATTTCTGATTATAGGGACCAGGTTCCCCTTGCGAATACTTGATGGAGCCCAGAAAAGGCACATCGCAACCGATAATTATAAAGAGATATATGCCATAAATAAGATCCCAATGTTTGGATAGCTCAATCGAAGGCAGACCTTGCTAACTCTGCCTTCCGCCATTTCCCTTCTTCGGCATCCACGACAGATGAGCGATTTAGCGGAAGTGAAGGAAAAGTTAATGAAGAAAATATTTTTTTCACGGACGCGACCATGATCATGTTATTTTTTAATCGAAAGTGCCAAGGTAAGATGGCGGTTCCGACGTTATCAGGATAGTTTTTATTCCTAGCGCCGGTTTGACGACAAACATGGAGACGAGTGCATGGTGACCTTATTTCTCCTCACAGCTCTTGATAATGGAAAAATAACTGATAAGGAAAGATAAAGGGAGAAAAAAAACATAGAAAGGCAATGTCTGGATCAACGGTAAGTGGGGGATATTGAGTTCAAGGCTTTCCTGATAGTAATATTTCGGGTGTATAGGATCAGGAAGGTGATAATTATGTTAATAAAGTATGTTTCGAAATCCGCATATAGTAGTTTTTAACCTTTTTAAAAGAATTTTCAATAAATAAGTTATTTATTAATATTTTTATAGCTGTATTGTTATTCCAGCGGAATGTATCTAGGACGAATCAAAGTGTATTTATAAATATTTTTTTATTATTCTATTGTCTAAATATCATATTATTCAAACATCATCATAAACACATATCATTACAATACATTTCAAAATTCTTACGAATTTATGTTCACAGAAAAAAAAATTAATTGTTGTATTGTTATTATAATTGACTGTAATTATAATATAATATACATTAATATCTTCACAGCAAAATATTAGAATCGATTAACTAACGAGTTAGGTCCTTGTTTAAAAAAAAAAAGAAACAATGAAAAAATTAATTACACCATATTTATTATTAGATGACTTATTTTCATAAGATAAATAAGTATAAAATACAGAATTGTCAATACATTCGTCCTAAGTTATAGAATGTTTGTTGATTAGCGAAAAACAAATTATTAATAAAAATAAATTAAATCCTATAATTAAATTAAACCATTTCATCAAGAATTATTCTTAATTAAAAAAAAATCTTTGCAAATTACTTAAACATTAAAAAAAAATATTTAAACGAGTATTTTTTTGTAAGAAATTTATAAATATTGATAATATACAGAACTAACATAAATATCTTAAACTTTTGAAAAGACACATATAAGAATTCATAAGAACAAAGCAAAATTTAAATCCAATTTTTATTATTAATTTTTTGAAAAGTCTCAACAATTTTTGTCTTTATCTATATTTCCTTCTTCTAAGCAACCAATCTTTATGCTTTTCATTTATCCAATCTGAGGAAGGAATTATAAAATGTATATTTGAGAATTTTATTTTGAAAATTTACATTTCAAATGCATGGTTTAAAATATAAAATACTTTATGATCAACAAAAGATGATCATATTCATATTAAGATAAAATAACACTAATAATGCTAATATTTATATCATGATTTTATTTGGCAAATTTGCATTTCAAATACTTTTTTAAAAATATAAAATAATAAATGATCATAATAAAATAATTATTTCCTTATAAATGTCTTAAACTTTACAATTTATTTTACAAGACTATACATTGTCAAATTGTAATAACTTTTGGAGTAAATTTAATGTTATAAACAAAAATTCTTCATTTTTTTTAAATAAAAAAAAATTATTATTTAAAAATTATTTATAGTTATTTTTTTGGTACGAATTACTAGTAAATTATTTAATTTGAAATATATGTAAAATATATATTTATACAACGTTATTTATTTAAGGTATTGAAAAGATTTCGTGGGACGATGACTTTCCTAATGTTTACCCTGAACAGTTAGATAAACACTAAGGCCGTTACACCCTGAAGGTCCCGAAAACTGTTCATAGGACCAGCCGAGGTTAACGCACTCTCTGAGACTAGGCTCGAATCAAGACGCGAGAAAAGCACACGCGCGAACAAAGCGGCGCGAAGTTGTGATATGTTTGAAAAATAATCCTCACAACATGAAACGTTATATCGTGAAATGGTTACCTTTCATTATTTCTCGTTAATGCTCCATTATTTAATTGTTTAAAATATTATTATCATTTTCCGTAATATTGCTAAATACACAAGGATCTTTCCTTAACGAAAAATGCGCGTCAAGTGGCAAGCATTAGATGAGTCTCAATTCACGCATGACAAATGTCCCCATGCAAATATAGCATGCGCTCTCGGAAAAAACGTGAATATAATTTCCAGCTTTAATGTAGGTTTTCAACCTTTTGTTCGTTTCTGGGTCAGCACAACCTCGATAGATCTGAGTAACGCCTAAAAATAGATCGTCTAGACGCAGGTGTCATTTTGCATGATACACAAAGACATTTTCTCTAAGTTATCTTTTATGTAAGTGAAGAGCTCTGGAAGTAAAATAAGTTAACTCGATAAAAAAATAATATAGTATTTTTTTTTCTCGTTTACCCCGTACCTCACCATTCCTGACTTAAGGTGATAGAGTTACAAGCAAACCCATTCTAACCACAATGAGAAGTTCGAGATTTATTCTGTGGTTCCTTCGCGAAATAAATTTCAAACACCCTGATCGGATTCGAACCGGTAGCTACATCCTAAATCCATAAACCACTAGCCTCATTAATAACCTTCCCCTAAGTGAAATTAAAGCGTCTTATAAGATTTATCTTCGATTTTCTTAGACGCACCAATGCCTGTTATATCGAGTGGTTTTATCCTTGTTTGCAACGGAAATACTTCGATGGTTCTTACCTCTCCTGAGGAAACAATAAACCTCCTCATGTCACTGAACTCTTTACAACGTGTTCTTACACTCTTTGAACGCCATAACCGAACCAATCAATATTTACATTTCATCACATAGAACTGCTCTCAATAACAAAACCTTTCTCGTTTCTTTCCTCTTCCAATCGTGTTTCCTTCTCTACCATTCTCTTTTCCCTGTCTTCCTTTAACTACTTACATTAACATTAACTACTTTTCCACATCCTTAAATCTCAATCACCCCATAAGATGTTACATATAATCTGATTATTTAGCATAAAATTACATGACAGCTAGAACGTTAAATGGATGTGAATAACATTGTATCAGACTATTATTTACAAATAATAGTTAATTAAATAATGAAAATAATAATGTGTGGAACGTTTTATAGCAATGTGGAAAATAAATTATTAAATAATAAGTTAACAGTTTTTGAAAAAGGGTTCCATAGTTGCTTTTCCTTCATTAGTTGCCTCAGAGTTCAATCGCCTGATTGTAAATAGTGTGTATAGGTTTGTATGTATTTTTTTGGTTTGTTTTAATTTCCTTATTTTTAAGTCATTTTATTTTATTTATTATATGTACTTTTTGATTATTTTTTATTGTTATTTTGTTTCTACTTATTTTATATTTCTTTGTACATATAGTGTGAATGTTATCCTGCCTCACTATAACTAATATCCAAGCGACAAATTGTTAATAAAATAATTAAAATAAACAATAATAAAAAACTAATATGACGGCCTCTTTAATTATTCCTAGTAAAATGTATATAGTTTTTTTTTGTTTTGGTTTTTAATGGTTTTAATACAGTCTGCCGCACTGAAGAGCATTGGTACTAGTATATATAGTAAACATTCACACAATATGTATACAAGAAAGGAAAATAAATATAAATAAACAAAGGAGAGAAAAAAAGCACACACAATTATATATATATATATATATATATATATATATATATATATATATATATATATATATAAAGATAAAGTAATATACAAGATATTTAAAATAACAGATAAATTTATACTAATAAAATCATTTTTCAAAGCCAATTTACTGTAATTGTTCAGATTTTGAAAGGAACATAAGAACTTTAAATTTAAATGTTGGCAGTTAGGAATTCATTTTAAAAACTAAGCTGAAAGAGACTGTACTAATTAAATTTGTTGTGGAAGTTATAATAAATTTGAGTTTCACAAATTGGCTTAGAAAGTGTATCGGCTTGTTAGATAACCTCGAATTATTAATATGAAACAATTAAAATAATTAATATATTTTAATTTTTTATTTATTTTACCGCACCCTCGACTAACTCCTTCTCATATGAAACAATTAAGTAAAATATCGCGATGAGTATTGTTAAAATTCCGAGAGGAAGACTGAAACGTTAGATGAAATTCTAGTGAAGGGATATCAGTGTAAATGCACGGTATCGCTATGAACTTTTTTTCGTATTAACGCGAAGAGGTATTCTTGCATTATTATAAAACGTCAACCATGAACGAGAAGGTCTTGTTTTATAAACAGAACGCCAGGACATATTGTAATGCTTCCCGAGCAGTTTTATTTTTCATCAAAACAGGAACACTTCCACATCACGTAAATTATAATCTTCCTTTTGTAACGCAGAAGAAGACTTATCAATGTTTACAACGAAGCTAAGCAGTGACTATAGTAAACTTTGTTCTATTTGACAAACACTCAGTTATCAGCTGGCGTTTGTCTTATCTCACCAGAAACCGTTAATGTTGATACGGGAATGTCGTTGACGCTAAAACGCCAGATTTCAAGGTGCACGAGCCGGCTGGAAATCAACAAAACATAGATTCCCATGTTACTGATCATTTCAAATCCATTATCAAATATCTAGATAAAAATGTAAGCATTATCACACATAACTATCAGCGATAACTATTAATAAATAAGTTGATCACTAACCCTAAACTTAAATTATTAATGTCAAATAAAGTAAAAACAGATTAATTAATTGTTAAAGTAAGCGATCTATTAAAAGTGTTTACTCATTTTGTTGGGAACAGGAAAATTGATAAAGTTGCCATCTGGAAAAAAAAGAAAAAAAAATGAGATAAAATTTTAAAATGTACGTGATATAAACAAACAAACGCCTGAACGCTTTCTTATTCAGGTAATTTTATAAACTGATATTTTAAAAATACACTAATTTGTATTTGTATAAATAAAATAATAGATCACCATACGTTTCAGCTCTTTTTTTTAATGATAAATTGACGATGAAAGAGTTATAAATGTAGAAATTAAAATCAATCTATAATAAAATTAACTGAATTAAATAACTTTCTCAATATTTAATAAAATAATATATTAATAAAAGGAAGGAAAATGCTTGATATTAGTAGGTACAAAATAAATGTAAACTATTTATTTTGAAAGTGGATCCTAGAATGTACGAAATATTTTAAGAAGCAGAATTCGAAAGAATTCTAACCTCTGCATCTTTTAGTCGGATTTTTTAAAGATTTACGTCAAAGAACGATTTTAAAAATAACAAACTATTGTTATTTTTTTAATAAGTGATTAAATTATTTTTTAATTCATTATTTATCGAGAGGTTACCTTTAGTAGACAATCTTCGGTTGGAATAATAGAAAAAAAACAAAATAGTATACGTACGACCATATGCCACAACACTCAGCTCTTTGTTTATCTTGGATTATTAAAATGAAACAAGCCTTTGTACCCACTGTTACAAAACAAAAGAAAATCACAAAAAAAGATCGCTTCTCCACAAATAAAGTTTTAAATCAAAAAAGAGGCTGTCAATGGTAAAACAATCCTGAACTCTTAAGAACATAAAAACAGTCTAAAATTACCCAACGAAACAAAAATTTTAATTAACTATCAATTTTAAAAGCCGAGTCACTTGCTTGAAATATTACGTCTGTATATTGAATGCCACTAGTTTGAAATAAAGCGTTTATAATACAGTTTAAACGCAACACTTTTACTTCATATGCTAATCAATCTCACAAAGCATGAACTAGCTATGTCGAAATAAATATACAAGGTAAACGTATTATTTTAGAATAAGAAAAAAAACGACTGTTTCTATCCCATCACCGAAGCTATGAAAGTGTTTTATTTATGTAGAAAGTGAAAAAAAAAATCTATTCTGAATCGGAAATTTATATATCAAGGAACAAATACTATTTGTTGACTAATTCAAGCAATAGGCATAACATTTAACGGTTAGCCGATTTGCTAAAGTTGTCGGGGGAGGGGTTGTCGCGGATTAGTACCTAGGTCCCCCTCCATGTTGGTTCTATCAAATTTTTTACACTACTTTGTAAACAATACATACCCAAATGAATGCTTTAGGCACAACTATACTTCAAAAACGGGACATCCGATGTTCCGGATTCTGGTTGTAGGTAGGATTTGTGAAAAAAATTTCCAGATTGTATTACAAGCATATATTTTTAAACAAAAGGGGCAATGCCTATAAACTGTTAACAGACTAAAGGGTATAAATAAGGTTAGATTAATCATAAACTGTTAAAAGAGTTCTTCTATTATTACCCTTAAAGCTCCTTGAAAAACGTTTTTTAATAGTGTTATTGAAACCAAAATTTTTTGTTGGAAAAAATGAAAACGGCTAAATATGAAATAATGTTGCGTTGTTTTTTTTAATGTATCTTTGCGTAATTATAAATATAATATTTGTGCATTTATTGTAATTTCTGATGACTAAATTAAAATTTATTATTGTTTACAAGATTATTTTCCGAATAAGAGTCCGTTTTAAAAATTAATTAAAAAGTTATTTAATTAAATAGTTATTTAAACAGTATAATAATTATAATGTAGAGACACTCCTGGACAAAAGCACATGAGACTTAACTCTTAAGTAGCGAGGATAGAAGCACACGGACTCACTCGCTGACCTATGACGCAAGCAGAGTCGAGGTTGCAGCGGTAAACTACCGTCCTATACAACTCTTCAATAAACTACAATTGTACTTAACATCAGTAAAATATATTCAACCATTAAAAGTAATCTTAATTAAAATAATTACCAATAATTGCCTTCCTAGGAGATTAAATTTTTCCATCAGAGGGTTAAGGAATTCTTCGTAAGAAATAACTATTACCAATACAAATAAATATTCTAAGACTCTAAGATTGGTCTTCGGTATATCGTAGAGGTCTCGCCTCTTCCGCCTCTATGGCGAGCTTAAATGATTGTTCCTCTTCAAGCGTTGACAATATTTCCTAGGATTCTTCATATATTAAACCATCTCCTCCAGATTCACTTTCTACATTTACAATCTTCTACTATTCAAATCCTTGGTCAACTCTCAGAAAACAAGATCTGGTGTTTATCATATCTCTATACTCTTCCCACAGAACTAAAACCTTCGAAGATTCCTTTCTTGACCACTCCACCTCTTTATGGAATTCCCTACCACTTTCTATCAGCCATGTTGCTTCCTTTTCTCCTTCTTATTCCGCTTTTTGCATTTACTTTCTCAAATCCCAACGCTCTCCAATCATGACATTTTAATTCAACAATAAATTGTTATTTGAAATGAAATAGTTTTAATCAGAGTTTGAATTTTTTTTTTAAACATTCATTGGGCTAAGATTAGGGTTATAATTTGTCTTAAATGAATTATACTAGTGTTGCCCAAATGCTAGACCAAGACGAGTCTTGGTATTGCAAACTCAGTCTTGGTCTTGCGCAAGAGTCTCGCAATAGTCTTGCAATTACTTATTAGCTTATTACTGTAGAGATATTACTCTGATTTTTTAGATAGGAGAAACCTAAGCCCGAATGAAGAATTAGAGGAATTAAATGCAAAAGAATGTTAGATATACCAATTATTTACATATAGTAACTAGGATTGTCAATAATTGTTAACTATTTTGCCTTGATTTTTATTCAAAAAGTCGGTTTTTTTTTTTATCAGTCCTGGTCTTAGTATTCCAACAGTTAGGCGGTCTTGGTCTTGGTCTTACAAAGTGCATATAAATTCGAATGTGTAGTTTGTTTGAATATCAATAAGAATAAAATATATTTTTTATATTGACGTTTTCGAGAAATCGATAGAACTTATAGATAAAAGTTTTTTTTTAAATAAAAGTTCTGTAAAAACCTTTTTTTTGCTTTAAGAGCTTAGACAAAATCCTATTTTGCATTAACTTGAAAAGTTGCAAGGGAAAAGTTCTGGTTCAAAAATAATTGAAAAACTATCGACAATAAAAATTCCTATGATACCGACTTTAATAATTAAAGTTGTTTTGGCGTTTCAAGCCCTGGTTTTAATATCTAAGTTTTAATCCATAAGTAGAATTTCGGTGCTCTATTTAACTATCAAATTCCTCTCATGATCAATCCTTACAATTCAATTCTAACGACCTTAATGTTCTATATGTTTCAGATTTGGCCCAATCCAGATAAACATCCTTCCATCATAACCATCCGAACTCTCTCGTTTCTAACTTGCATCTTCTTCGATTCCCTGATAACTCTCAGCGGCGACTGAAAGGAAGATAGCATCGTAATCGGCTAAATGCAGAAATTGTATTTGCTACCAATGGATATTTTCTATCCATTAAAATAATTTCATTTATTCTATGATCTGTATATAATTTAAATATTGTGAAAGTATATATAATGTATCAACCGAATTAATTTGGACAGTAAGATTTTTTTGAAAAAAAAAGAAATTCTGTTTTTTAAAACGAATCGTTATATTTTAACTGAATGTGCTTTTCATTTATTCAGAGGCCGTTAGATTTTAATTCATTCCCTGATATGCCACGTTTGATAATCTCCTGTCGGTAAATTTAATCATGACAGGTCGTCTAGGTATTGAAAACATCTTATTGTCAAGATAAATTATTTTAACATTTTTTGAGAATTTAATGCGTATATTTAATAAACGCAAGATACACGGAGGTTATTTACCCAATATTTGTTCTTTTGCAGAGTTAAAAATAAATCTAGGTCGACAGCCGTCATTATCTTTAAAAAAATAATAATAATTGCTAACAGGAACGAGTTGCGAAATCCAAGAAAGCTCCTTATCAATTTGTTATAAAAAATATATATGTTCTGTGTATATAAATATATATATATATATATATATATATATATATATATATATATATATATATATATATCCGTCGTTCTGTATCTTTTTATTTTTGGCAATACATTAACAGCGAGAGAAAAATAAACAAAGATATCTCTCCCGTAAACAGGAGGCTAAGGGTATTGCCACTCACTTGGTTAAGATAACCACCGCGGACTAAAAATATTTTCGGGCCAGACGCCAAGTGATTCTGAAGATAAAATATTTATGTTTCGCATTCGTTTCATAGAATAATTTTTTTGAAAGGGTTCGCAGAAATTTGGAGAAAAAAAAAAGATTTATTTTTCCGCTTCTCCGTATCCGAGATGCTGGAGTCAAATAAGATAGTAAATAGTCTAATATCAAAAGCCACTTAGCTTCCATTATATGAATTCGAATTTTGTCAAATGAAATTCGACCCTATTTTCATGTTTTCAAATATAATATCAATGTAATATGAGTAATTCTTATCACAATTAGTTATTAAATGATACGAAAATAAATTATAATCCTTGTTATATTGATTAATTTGACACAACAATACATTGATACTGTCAATAAAATGAAAAATGCTTTATTTTCTTTCTGAAAAATTTATTATTTATAAACGATAGAGACTTCTAATTATATTGTAGTATAGTACATAAATAAAAACGAATATCGTAAGTCATATCAAATCATATGCCCGTGTTTGTGACCCTCCTCCCATTACCTATTAACTTCAATGTACAATAATATTTAATGTTATATAATAATAATATACACATAATGTTATATACACATAAATTTTATATTTACATAGGGAAAGTCCTTAAACTCTGCGCTGAGCTCATCGATGGAATCAGAAATCCATCAGTTCCTTAACGCATCCATCGATGGAATTCAGCGCGTTCGTTTATTCATCGATTGAATCACCGATTATACAGCGTTTCTAACGGTTTTTT